TTCTCCAATTCCTCTTCCCCATTACGGTCGCACGTAGCATCGGAAGAAGTGCCATCATCACGCTGGTTCCTCGAGGTTCTGCACGAGCAGCACTTTGCCTCTGGCGGACATCTCGGCAAAGGCCTGTGCTGCGTTCGGGCCTCTGTGTTAAGTGCACAGATGAACATCAATGACCCATCCCTGGATCGCAAGATCGCCCTCGGCTGTCGAAGCAGAGATCGAGCCTCAGGTGGCCGTTCGGGGCTTTCCTAGGCTCACCCTGAGGCCCTCGACCAGGCACAGCTGATGGAAGGGACCCCGGGGCCCGACTGCCCCAAGGCATCTCTAGCCAAATATGCGAAATAGCTTCCATCTCCCTCCCGCCATCCCCTGTTCTTCTACACAGCTTCTCCCTGTCGCACGCCGAGACGTGTCGGCAGGGCGGGCCGGCCGTTTCGCCTGACACCTCGGCGCAACTTGTGGCGTTCGAGCTTGACCTCTGCAACAGCTTCACAGATGGCACGCGGGAGGGTTTTCTAATGAGGCTCTAGCTGGAGAGCCGCGCACACTCGTCTTAAAAGATGATAGAGTCGTGGGCTTGTTTTCCACCACCACCACCATAAGTTGGAGGGGGAGGGGGTGCTCCTTCTCATCCTCCTCCTCCTCCTCCTCCTCCTCCTCCTCCTCCTCCTCCTCCTCCTCCTCTCCCTCCTCCTCCTCATCCACCTCATTCCCCCCTCCGACTTATGGTGGTGGTGGTGGTGGTGGAAAACAGGCCCATCAAAGAGCTCCACGGATAGCGGCTGGTACCTTTTCGAACCGTGGCTCTCGCCAGAGCGTCGCGCACGCTCGTATCAACTTTGTGCGGGAGATTCGCGGATGGAGGACGTGGCTCTCGCCGCAGAGCCGCGCGCACTCGTCTGACATGTTTGCAAGCGCTTCACGGACCGAGGGCGGTCCGTGTTCAAAATGCGGCTGCCGCCTCGGCGCCGCTCTAAGAGCCTACGGCAGCGCAAAAGGTTGTTGTGGGTGACGTCCCAGTCAGACTTGGCATGCTGAGACGATGTAGGGTTGTCGGGGAGCAACGATTACGTTTATGCTCTGTGAGACTCGCAGAAATAGTGTTCCGACGCGATTTGGGATTGTCAGGACGCACCAGTCATGTTGATTCGTGGCGTTGAAGTCCCAGGAGCGGTGTTCTGGCGAGGATGACGACGTTCAAACGGTTGATTTCCAAGGGGGCACTTCCCTCAATGATAATGAATCCTTATGGTGGCTTTTGAAAGGTTCTTGGGATTGCATTGGTTCTCCTCCTCCTCCTGCTCCTTCTCCACCTCCTGCTCCTCCTCAAATGGGGCACGCGTCCTGGGAGCGGACGATATTGCCGAGCTTCCACGGGCTGTTTGTATGCAGGGCGTTATGCTCCTGGGGGTACGTCCACTCGCGCCAGTTCGCGGAGGCACCGCTTGCAGTCCTGGGAGGGTCAAGGAGATCACACAGACGAGGGAGGGAGGAGAAATGGACAAAGGGTGAGAAGGCCAAACACAAGAGGGGAACATGCCTTCTTCGATCCGGGTCCTGTTTTTGGGGCTGCCCCTCCGGCCCAGCATGGACCAGCGCTCCGACGCGGTGTAGTCTGCGAACATCGTGATCCCCATGAGCCAGGATTGTCGCGGGCCGGAGAGGAACGACACCACCGCCTTTTTCCCTCCCTCCACTCTTCATTGCTGATCATGCGTACTCGTTATGCAACCTCCTCCCCTGTCCACCGTTGCATCATCTCCCTCGTCCTTCTCCGCTTCCTCCTCGTCCTCCTCTGGTGCCGCACGCTGGCGCCACCTCCTTCTCCTTGGTGAAGATGGCCAGCCTGTGGGCCCACTCCTGGTGCGGAGGATGGGAAGCTGAAATTGCCGAGACTAGGGGAACAAAAAGTGACGTAAACATAAAAACGCAGAGGTCCGCGCGGATTTCTCGGATCGGCGCTGGGGCCCCCCGGCGGCGCCTCCGGCGCCGCCCCTGGCGCGCTCCGCGTGCCAGGGAGGGGGGTCCAGCGCCGATCCGAGAAATCCGCGCGGACCTCAGAGTTGTTATGTGTGTGCCCCTGGAATTGCAACGCGCCTCTGGCTTGGCTGCCAGTCGCCGACGCCCCCTCCACGGACACTGGTCTGCGCGCGCGGGCGCCCGAAGGGTGCCCGCCCGACCAAGCTTGGCTCTGTGACCTGGCGCGCGGTGCGACAGGATCGTATGGAGGCGCGGCGAGGATGCAGGCCCCTTCGGCGCCCAATGCCCGTGCTGCACAATACTTTTCTGCTTTGACTGCGTGCAGCAGAGATGTGTCTCTGCCCGCGTGTGCGGACCCTTCGGGGCTCGTGACAAAGCATTGCTGTAACATGATGCTCTGACGTAGACGAAGGCGCGCGCATGGTACGATTTAGCACAGACAGAACGGGGGGGTCCATACCGGTTTGGCTCGGATCATGTGCCTTCAAATGCAGGATGGACAATGGGGCAGCCTCGCCTGTGTGGCATGACGGAAAACGTGAACGGGTAACCCTGGGCGCAGGGGCGTGGCAGACTCGATTCTTGTCCTGGCCGGAAAATCTACATGGCGCAAGCGATGTGCGTACGAGGCCAGGCGGGAAGCCCACGGGCGCCACTCGGCCGAAAGCCTGGCTGACCAGGCCGGCGCACGAGGCGCCCACGAGGCGCCCACGAGGCGCCCGCGAGGCGCCCACGAGCAGAGAGCCGAGCAGACCCGCCAAGCGAGCGAAGGGCGCCCGCGAAGCGGCCACGGCGCCAACTGGGCAAGAGCACGCAGCAGACCCAGGCAGCTGCTCAGCACAAGCACAGAGGAAAGAGAACTATGCACATGCACCGAATCTGGCCAGGCCCATCCTGAGCCCAGGATCGGTGCATACGCCCTCCTGCCTTGGCCAGGAAGGCATATGCACCGATCCTGGGTCAAGGATGGGCCTTGACAGGATCGGTGCATGTGCATAATTCTCTTCGCCCGAAAGCACCTGGAGGGCAAAGATCGTGTTGTCTGGCCGCGCTTTCAACGGCTGAGGAGGAAACGTAGAGCGAGCTGCCAAAACTTCTTGATCCGCGGGTCGAGAGCGCACCTCTTCCGGTCGAAGCTAAGCGGGCCGCGCGCAGCTTGAATTAGCAAAGGGGGGGGGCAGAAGGAGGGGCCTCACGTCAAGGCCAGGAGGGGGCAAAGCGCCGGAATCAGGCGGTGCCGAAGACGAGCGAGCTGCCAAAACATGCTCACACGAAGATGCCGCAACAACCTCGGCCCCCCAGGGCGTGAGTGAGGACGCCCGCCGTCGGCCGCCCGAGTCGGCCGCCCGAGGAAACCAGCTCCGAACGCAGGTCAAACCCGAATCCGAAACGCCTCTTCCACCCTCTCTCGTCCCCCCCCTGGGGAGGCAAATAGGTAGGTACCTGCTCCGCTAACTCGCCGTGGCGGCGGGGGCCTTCCACGACGAGCAGCCGCATCGCTACGTGCTTCTTCCTCGGACTCCCAGGCCTGCTCCCCATCTGAGATGCGACGCCACGAAAAAAGACAACATCGTGCAACAACTCTGCTGAGACCCTGGGCCCCCTCTTTCGACGCCATTTGCGAGCCCGATCGATATGTGAGGATCCTGGGGCCAAAAACGAAACAGAAGTCGTCAGGATCTCAAGGGTGTGGCCCGCCACCGCTGCCGCCGCCGCTGGCGCCGTTGCCGCCGCCGCCGTCGCCGTCGTCGTCGTCGTCGTTGTCCGGCCGCCGCCGCCGCCGCCGCGGTCGTGGTCGTGGTCGTGGTCGTGGTCGTGGTCGTGGTCGTGGTCGTGGTCGTGGTCGTGGTCGTGGTCGTGGTCGTCGTCGTCGTCGTCGTGGTCGTCGTCGTCGTCGTCGTCGCCGTCGTCGTCGTCGTCGCTCGGCCCTCCAGCGGCCATACGGGGCGATCCTTGCTACTCGGGAGGAGTCCCCGGCGAGGCGCAGCTCAGCTGCGGGGCATCCCGCGATTCGAGGACCGCCGAAAACCTCGGACCTCGAACCGAAGTCGCCCGCTGTGGAGAAATTCGGACGCCAGGGTTTCAGGTTATGTCGGGCATGACACACTACAGGCGGACTGTGGACGAAAGAAACAAATATCGAAAAACAAATGCCATGGTCAAAACAATTCGAAAAAAATCGTCCCACCACTATGTTTTACTATTTTTGAATGTTCCCCCTGTCGAGGGACAGGCCCGACTTAACACGAATACCTCGGACCTCGAACCCAAGTCGCCCGCTGTGCAAAAATTCGGACGCCAGGGCTTCAGGGCCCTCCACCGCCCCCCTCGCGGGGCAGCTTGCCTTAGGTCGGGCCTGTCCCCCATACAGGGGGCTTCGGGCGAAAAATCACAGTATAATTAATTTTCACCAAAATGCTCCCAAATAATAGCAAAATCGTCCCCGTAGTATGTTTCGACTATTTTTTAACAATCCCCCTGTAGAGGGACAGGCCCGACTGCACGCTTGCCCCCCCCCCCCCCCCCCGAAGGCTCTTCGGTGCCCGCGACGTACGAGCGGTTGAACTTCTCCACGAAGTGGTCGAACGAGAACGACCGCACGGCCTCGAGGTGCCGCGCGAGCGAGCGCCTGGGACCAGACGATCGCGCTCCACTGCGCGCAAAGTAACTGACTACCTACCAGACCACCCCAACCCAACCCGAAGACCCGAATTTCGGGTTGGGGGGGGGGGTATGGGCTCCATGTGTTTTTTCGATGTTCCCGGACCCCCCCCCACTAGAAATCGAGGGAAAATCCGACCCTTCGGGTTGGGTTGGGGTGGCTTGGTGGGTGGCGAGTAACTGCTCGCAAATAGTCTGGATCCGGCGCGGGAGACCTACGGTAACTTTCGTCGAAACAAACATTTGTGCTTCGGGCGTCTGCGAGCAGGCACTTTTTGCGAGTAGCAGAACGCGTTCGGAGAGGGGAGGGGCGCGGGGGGGGCCAAGTTCCCGGTCAGCTCCCTGGAGAGCTGTAGGGTTCTCGAATTGGAGGCCAGCGCTGCAGGGGCAGCCCCCGAGCTCGATCGGGCTTCCGGCAAGAATCCCTGACACGAGTTGCCTGAAGCTGCACCGTGCTCAGGCAGGCCGTTTCAAAGCGTTTTCCGATTCTTCTGCCTGGGAGCTCTCCAGAAACTCTCTCGGAAGCTCTCTCCAGGAGCTTACCGTGTCCTTCGAGAGGCCTTTACACGTCCTTCTGGCGCCCCACTATCCGGTTTTCGACTGCACAAGTTGAGGAGGAGAAGGAGGAGGAGGCCGAAGAGAAGGAGGAGGAGGCGGAGGAGGAGGAGGAAGAGGAGCAGGCGGAGGCGGCGGAGCAGGAGGAGGCGGAGGAGAAGGACGAGGACGAGGCGGATGAGAAGGAGCAGGACGAGAAGGAGAGGGCGGAGGAGGAGGAGGAGGAGGAAGAGGAGGAGAAGGAGGGGGAGGATGAGAAGGAGGAGGAGGAAGAGGAGGCGGAGGGGGTCGAGAAGGAGGAGGAGGAGGAGGAGGAGGAGGGAGGAGGAGGAGGAGAGGAGAGAAGGTGAAGGAGGAGGCGGAGGAGGACGAGGCGGAGGAGGAGGAGAAGTATGAGGAGGAGGAGGAGGAGGAGGAGGAGGAGGAGGAAGAGGAGGAGGAGGAGGAGGAGGAGGAGGAGGAGGAGGAGCGGGAGGAGGAGCTGGAGGAGAAGGAGGAGGAATCTTAGGAGGACTTATGACTTTGACGTCCTCGGCCTCACCTGGGGCCCACACCGCCATGTCCAGAACCCTCCGCGAGCCGCTGGCCTTGGCGCGCCCCAGCGAGGCAGACCCGGGAAGCTTCTGCGGCGATCGAGGGGGGAAACGAGAAGGAAACGGCCTTCTCGGAAGGGCGGCGGGACTTCGCAGAAGCCCAGGGACACGCCACGCGCGAGGGCACGGACGGTCCAGAGCAGGGGGCGATGAGGAGACCCGCCCAAGAGCTCATAGAGATCCGCTGCCCCTCGAGGGGGCCATCTCGGCGCACGCGGCCCAGGGCCCAGGCATCCACGCAGCGGGGGCACACTTGTTTTGTACCAGCCGAAAGAAATCGCCCTGTGGCTAAGGAGGAAGGAAGAGAGCAAGGGGGAAAGGGAGGCGGGGCAGAGGAGCAGCAGCAGCACCACGCAGCGGGAGCACACGAGGCGTGCCCACCCGCGGCGTGGGCGTAACGCCCCTGCGAGTTCGCGGGTGCACTCGTGCACTCATGGCCGACCCTTTGCTCTGACAGCTGGGAGGCTGACGCAAGATGACACAAAGCCCGCATGTCCCCCCGGGCGAGCACGACACGACACGAAGCCGAGGGTCACATCGAGGTCCCGACGCTCACGGACCAGGCCACTAGCGCCACTCAGGGGGAATCACATGAGGCGTGATCGCCAGAGGAGCGAACGCATCGCACCGTCGAGCTTGCTGGTGTAATGGCGTATTCATGGCCGCCGACGATATGTTAGGACGAAAGGGCGTGGAACGCTTGAAGCCGTGATAAGCAATGACTTTCATACGGCATCAAGCGGCATCATCCGACGGCATTGTCCGAAACTCCCATACACGCATTCGGGAGAGGCCGTCATTTAAGCAGAGCTCGGCCGGCAGAAGCGGGAGGGAGAGGGACAAGAGCGAAAGCACGGGGCAGCCGAGCATATGGCGCATGTCGTTTCCTTGAGGGGGCTGGCACGCCAGACAGCAGCGCGCTGAGCTGCTAAAACTGGATGCCGTGGTCCACGCGTTGAACGCTTTTTCGACATAGGCCAATACTGCGGAAACAGGCGCTACTGTCACGCTAGTCTGGGGAATACCAGCCCGTCTGATCAGGTGGTGAGACAAGTTTCATGACTGATCACTTGTATGTAGGAGGCTATAGGGGCTATGGTGAAGCAACCCCCCGCCAAACCTAATGTGTCGAACAGAGGGGGCTACCACGCGTACCATCCGCGAGCGCCAGATGCCAACAACAGTCCCTGACAGGCTCTGGGGCCAGAAGGTTGTCACCCCAACCCAACCTTCCCGAGCACCTCCACAGGGCTACGCCAACCCTCAAGGGCATTAGCACTCCTCTGCAGTCCTCGTCCTCCTCCCCTGCACGGTTTCCTCCGGGGCCGTAGGCGACCCGATGAGGAGGAGAAGGAGGAGAAGGAGAAGGAGGATGAGGAGGAGGGGGGGAGGAGATGGAGGAGGAGCAGGAGGAGGAGGAGGGAGGAGGAGGAGAAGGAGGAGGAGGACAAGCTAGGCGTGCTCGCGTCATATCTGATGTCCTACACCTCCCTCCCATCCCTTACCATGGCGCAGATCTCCTCCCTATTCGCACAAACGGATGTCGTAGCATGGCGTAGGATTACATGGCATAGCATGGTGTTGAAGACTAACGCGTAGCATGATATAGCATGGCGTGGCGACGCCCCCAAATAAAAGGGGGGCTTCTGCGGCCCAACACATCGAATAATCGGCACCGAATGTGTAATCACTTCTGATTGTTTCTTCGGAAGGCAATTTTTCAGATTTGGGGGCCTATGTGGAAGGACCGAAAACAATTTCGTGGCAGGGCACTGGAAATAATAACGCCAACGCTGCAGCGGGAGCACGATTCGGAACGAGCGGAAGCGCGGAAATGAGGCCAGCGCTGCACCGAGAGCACGACTCGGAACGAGCGGTAGCCCGAAAATGAGGCCAGCGCTTCAGCGAGAGCACGATTTGGAACGAGCGCGTAAATGAAGCCAGCGCTGCAGCGGGAGCACGATTCGGAACCAGCGGAAGCCCGAAAATGAAGCCAGCGCCTCAGCGAGAGCAGCACTTTCAGAAAAAAACAAAAGCGACAACCCACCTCGCCGACATCCTGTGCGGAACAAAAACGATGCGCGAGGGGGGGCCGAACACTCCGAGACAGATTCCGCCATAGACTCAGGGGAGGGAGGAGAGTAGTATTCATATCGAGAAATTCTGGATGATGATGACGAGAAGGAGGAGGAGCTCGGCAGCGGCTGGAAAGGTGCCATCACATTAAACATGCATCAAAAGGCAAACAGACTTCAACGAGTTAGAAGGGGCCGATATCCTCCTCGGGCGGCACAACCTCCCGTCGGCGCTCCCGCGCTCGAAGACCGAGAGACTCAGCCTCCTCCCGAGATCGGAACCCGAAAAAAGAGACAGGCCTCGAGAGGAGGAGGAGGAGGAGGAGGAGGAGGAGGATGAGAGGCGGAGGAGGAAGAGGAGTGAGGGAGGATGAGGAGGAGGAGGGAGGGGAAGGAGAAGGGAGGAGGAGGAGGGAGGAGGAGGAGGAGGAGGAGGAGGAGAAAGGAGGAGGATGGGTCGCCCAAGCCCCTCATGGCCCCTCCACTGCTGAGCCCCCCCCCCTGGCGCCTGTCAACCACGTCGACGTGGAGTGCTACGCCAGGCGCCTGCGTGGCCGCTCGCCGCTCCCGCCGGCTCCGGCGCTCGCCGCTCCCGCCGACACCGCCGCCGCTCCAGGCGCTCCTACCTCAATTCCGCCACACTCCTGCTTCTCATCCTGTTCCTCCTCCTCCTCCTCCACCTCCTCCTCCTCCTCCTCCTCCTCCTCATTCTCCTCCTCCTCCTTCCTCCCTCCTCTCCTCCTCCTCCTCTCTCCTCCGCCCTCCTCTCCTCCTCCTCCTCCTCCTCCCTCCTCCTCCTCCCTTCTCCATAAGGAGTCACGGTCGGGGACCTGTGCTCAGCGCGACGCGGCGGCTGCCTCAGCGACGCGCTGTGCCCTGCGAGCGGACGGCGCGTCACTCCGCTCCGCGGGGCGGGAAGCCGGGAAAGGCTCGGGGCGTGGACGCTTAGAGACTGGGGCGTGGACAACGTGTCTCGCCGACGCGTGGAAGGGCAGCACCGGCGGCGCGTCACGCTGGGCCAAAGCTCCTGCCCGTATCGTTTGTTATCAGGCAGCGTTGGGGGCCACGTCGTGACATGTTCACTTGTCATCAGTGCCTCGCTGTTACGCCGCAGAACGCGATCCCCCTGCGGGTAGTGTGCGTTCCCCGACGAGGGCAGGGAACGGAGCTCCAAACCTCGAAAGCAACGCAGCCCGCAGAAACCCTGTGGGATAAGAAATCGTGCTATAAGCGTTGCTTCTGCATTTGTGCCGCGCAGCCGCCATGCGCTGGGGGCGTCGAACTCCCATTCGACTAAACGAGGGCTGGAGGCTCAGAAGGGAAGCGAAGCCCCAGGCGACCAGACGAGGCGGATGGGCTAGAAGCAGGGGGAGGAGGAGGGAGAGAGAGAAGGGGAGACGGAGGGGGAGAACGAGGATGGGACAACATCGCCACGGCACCCAGGGGGCAGGTGCCAAGCATTCGGCTTTGCTCGTCGTCCACGTCCTCCCCCTCCACCTCCTCCTCCTCCTCCTCCTCCTCCTCCTCCTCCTCCTCCTGCTGCTCCTCCTCCTCCTCCTCCTCCTCCTCCTCCTCCTCCTCGTCCTCCTGCTCCCCCTCCTTCTCCTCCTCTTCCTCCTCCTCCTCCTCCTCCTCCTCCTCCTCCTCCTCCTTCATCTCCTACTCTTCCTCCTCTTCCTGGTCGAGCTCCTCCTCCTCCCTCCTCCTCCTCCACCTCCTCCTCCTGGTCCAGCTCCCTCTGCTCCTGCCCTCCTCCTCCTCCTCCTCCTCCTCTCCTCCTCCTACCTCCTCCTCCTCCCTCCTCGTCCACATCCTCCTCCTCCTCCTCCTCCTCCTCCTCCCTCCTCCTCCTGCTCCTCCTCCTTCCTCCTCCTCCTCCTCCTCCTCCTCCACCTCCCCCCGCTCCTCCTCCTCCTCCTCCTCCTCCTCCTCCTCCTCCTCCTCTCCTCCTCCTCCGTATCCTGCTCCCCGTCTCCTCCTCCTCCTCCTCCCCTCCTCCTCCTCCTCTCCTCCTCCTCCTCCTCTCCTCCTCCTCCTGCCTCCTCCTCCTCTCCTCCTCCTCCTCCTCCTCCTCCTCCTCTCCTCCTCTCCTCCTCCTCGTCCTCCTCCTCCTCCTCCTCCTCCTCCTCCTCCTCCTCCTCCTCTTGCTGCTCTTCCTCCTCCTCGCATATTGCCGACCACTGTGCTAAGTTGGGCGCGTTGGCCACGAGAGGCCCGGCCCCGAGCATTATGAGAGTGGCTTGCTGGCTGCACTCCTCCTCCTCCTCCTCCTCCTCCTCCTCCTCCTCCTCGTCCTCCTCTTCTTGCCTCCCGATCGATGCCCCTAGACGCCGGAGCACCGAAGGGCCGTGGCCAGACGCGTGCCGCGGAGGGCCCCGAAGGAACCCCCTGTGGCCGGGGGGGGCCGCGCCTGCAGCGCGGCGGCGGCCAGCAGGATGCCGGCGCCGCGCATGAGTCAGGAAGACGTGAGACTCGGGTACCAGGGACTCTCGGGTTGGCCTGACTGACTACCTACCAGACCACCCCAACCCAACCCGAAGGGGTATGGGCTCCATGTGTATTTTTTCAATGTTCCCCGACCCCCCCCCCACCACTGGAAATGGAGGGCAAATTGAAGCCTTCGGGTTGGGTTGGGGTGATCTGGTGGGTTGGCCTGACGGGGCCTTCATAAACAATACGAAAAATAAGAGATACCCCAAAAATACACCAAAAAGGCAAAAACATACTTAATACAAAATAATCCCAGACTATTTTTTACTTTTTTTTGACTATTGTTGGGGATTTTTTTATTTCTCGTCGAAAATCCCCCTGTAGGGGGACAGGCCCGACTTCAGGGTACCGGAGACTCAGGTTGGCCTGACGGGGCCTTCATGAAAATGACGAGACCCAATCGTCTCAAGTTTGGCGCGAGCTCCCGCTGCAGACGTCCCACGGAAGCCGGGCCGTCAAAGTCCAGGGCGCGCTCGTCAAAAGACGGCGGCAAACCCGAGTTCCAGCTGACTCGAGTCTTACGTTTCCCCGAATGGATCCGGGCGCAAGGCTGCGCGGGGGGCAGGGGCCCGGCCGCGCAAGGAATGGATCGGGGCTTGCTAAAAGGTGCCCCTGGCCCAAGGTACCCCCCAGCTTCTCGCCCCCGCTTCGGAGCCTTTTTGAGGGGCCCTCTGGGCCTCGTGAAGGCCGCGCTGGGGGTCGTGGGGGCCTCCCTGGAATTCCTGGAGGCGCCCTGGGGCATGGGGCACTTCTAGCAACACCCGGGGGGGTTATGCTGCATCCTCGGGGAACCTTGTCTGTCCCGTCGCGGCCCTATCCGCGTCGGGTCGGTGTGGAATCCAGGGCGGACTCGTCGGATCCGTGTGTCGGATCCATGTCGAAACCGCGTCGAACCTACGCCAAATCCGCGTCGAGTCCGCATCGAACCCGCGTCGGGCACAAGGAAAGACACCAATTTTGGGGGGACAGGCGAGGCCCCCCGAAGATGCAACGTGAGGAATGGAGTGTAATATATGTGTGTGTGCTCGAGCCGGACCTTTTCCTGGCGGTCGCGCAGTAGCGGGGAAGAGGATGGGAGCGGGGAGAGCAGAAGGAGGAAGCGACGCAAGGCGAAGCGAACGCTGGAGTCGTAGGCGTTCCTCTGGGGAGCCCGCCCGTGCCCATCAGGGCCTGGCGTTGAGGCCGTGGCCTCCTGCATGGGCGGGTAAGGGAAGGAGGAGGAGGGGACGGACAAGGAAGAACAGATGAGAGGCGCCGCTGCCCGATGCGTATCACGCGTACCTCTTCCGACAGCGCGACTGGTCAACCCCGGTGCCAGTACTCGATTCTGGCCCCTCGGGCCCGTGATCGGGCACGGGGGCCAAGTACCAAACTTGGACCCAGGAGGAACGAGACGCCCCCGGGGAAGCGGTCGGGACCTCCATCGGGCACGCGCTGACGTGGACTAGAGACCCGTGGATCTGGCGCGCTGGCGCCGGGATCCACGAACTGGCCATCGCTCGGACGTCCATTCATTGCGTTTTTGTTCGGTTCAGTGCGTGGTTTTTTCGCCACATGATCAAGGACGCTCCTCGATGGCCCTCGCCGAGAAAAAATGCACACGTCCGAGCGATGCCAGGCGAAGGGGGCAGCGCAGCGCCCGAGGCGTGGCGCCAGTGCCGACCCATCCGGCGGCAGCTCGCGCCGAGCATGCAGGAGGTCGTGGCCCGGCGCGGAGCCACGGGCGACCGGCGGAGAGCGAGGAGCGAGAGACGGGAGGAGCGGCGGCCGAGGGGAGGTGGGCGAGGAGCGTCGAGGTTCGAGAGGGTCTGTCTGAAGGGGGACTGAGACACGCACATAGATAGACACAAATAGCCAGATTCCCAATATTTTCTCATATGTTCTGGATTCTTGTCTTCCCCCCCCACTTCCCATATTTTCCCATATTTTCTGGGGAATCGACGATTAATTGTGTCTGTGTGTGTCTTTCCCTCCTGACTGTCGTCCTCGAAGATATCTGGGGGCTGTGTTCGGGCGTAGGGCCCGTCAGCAGTCGATCTCTGTGGAGAAAGACCATTCCAGACAGACTGCCCCCCAGGGTCATTCCCTGAGGATTTCGTCGATGTTGATCGGGGCGTCGGCCAGGAGGCTCGAGGAGTCGATGGCTGCTGCGACTTGCTTATCTAAGCTTCTTGCGAACAGCCTGCCTGCTCGTATCGGTTTGTTGTTAGCTCTCTGATTGCGTGTTTTCTTGCTGGCCAGCTTGGCTGACTGGCTGACCGGCTTGTTTGCTGCGTGCTGTTTGTTGCTTGCTTACTTGATGGCTTACTGGCATGCTGCCTGCTGTTGCTGCCGTTTGCTGCTGATTGCTTCCGGGAGTTTCCCTCAAGAACATGAGACCCTCCGCTTGCCAAAACACACACACACACACACACACACACACACACACACACACACACACACACACACACACACACACACACACACACACACACACAAAAAAACCAAGGGCACACTCCGCAGTGTTGGGTGTTGGGGCCAAGGCTGGAAACCAAGAAGCGAATGCGCGCATTTGGAACGCTACTCCAGACCCAAAGCCCTGCGCAATGAGGCCTGTTGCAACCCAAAGCCCTGTTGCGCGCATGTTTGCACTGCACACTTGTTGCCCTGCGCTCATTGCGCTGCCGCCTCTTGTTTTGTACCCGAAAAACGCTTCCGATGCGCCTGTTGCACTGCACGCTTCTGCACTTCCCTGATCAAGACAAATCGCCAGGCGATCTGCTTCTGGATGGGTTGGTGGGGGTACTTTTTGCTCGCGAGCGACGCGGGCAGCCGCGCGCCGTCAAACAGGTCGTAAAGCGAGGGTCAGGCACAGGCTGGTAGGGATACTTTTTCTTTCGATCGCGTCCGCTAGGGAGGGCGCTAGCGGAGTCAGAAGCGCTACGGGTCACGACAACGGCCTAATTAGCAGCTGAACGCGGCGCGAGCCGGCCGGCCCACTCATCCAGCAGCGGCTGACTGCGCGGGGGGAGCGGCAAGCTGAGGGCGTCCAGGGTGCTCGAGCACTTGCAACACGGCAAAATGCTGGTAGATTCAAGATGTGCCGATTGGCAAAACCCAAACGGAGCGTGCGGACGATAGCTGTGGGCTGCGTGTCCAACATGCCGTCTGAGTGCCCAGACGTGGTAAGCGATGGGCAGTCGCCAGTGGGGCGCCAAGCCCAGGTCGCTCTGGTGGGAATACTTTTTTTCGGTCGCGGCCGCGAGACGAAAGTCAGGCGGCGAAAGCAAAGTCCGGGACGCGAACTAGACGAATTGGCTAGGACAGGCGCAGGCCGGCCGGCCCACTCAGACTGCAGCTGCTGGCTGGGTGAAGCTGAACTGACTGGCGCACTGCAAGCTCGGGCACGCGCACTGGACAAAATGACCAGAATTCAAGCGGCCAAGGCAAAAACCGCACAGAGGACGCGGACCACGGTGGGCAAGCATTTGTGCATGGTGAAGACGTGCTGGCCATTGGAGTGAGTCGCCAATGTGGCGCCAGGCTCCAAACGGACGACCTGCACAAGCCGAGTGGTGGGGATACGCGAAGCGCCTAGAATTAAGAAGCGCATTCGCGCGTTTTCCATCATGGCTGCGGCCGTCAGAGGAGGTCGGAGGATGTGCGCGGCCCGCGCAAGCTCGGAGGAAGGCGGAACGCCCTGCGGAGCCAGCCCCCGATGGCTGGCGGTTCCGTCGCACCCTCTGGGAGAAGTCCCCGATGGGTCGCCCAGTCAGACCAAAGCCGCTCCAACGAAGGAGGGAGAAAAAGAAGCGCCTGGGTGTCGAATGTCTGGGTGGCTGGCGCGGTCCCCTTCTCCCTACTGGATCTTCCATCGGAAGCCTCTTGGAGGCGGTTTTGGAAGTGTCTTGGGGCCTCTCGGGGGCCTCTGGGGGGCCTGCTTCGGGTCTCTCGGAAGCCGCTTTCCTGGGGCCAGCTCGCGGTCACGAGGGTCTTCGTGGGTTGGAGTTCCCCTTCTTGGGGCCTCCTTGGGCCGTCTTGGGGGGGCCGCTTGGGAGGTCTTGGAGCCTTCTTGGGGCCCTCTTGGGGGAGCTCATGGGCAACTATCGGAGTCTCGTGGGGGGGCTGTGGGGCATCGCGGGGTGCTCTGGGGCGTGCGTGGGGTCAGGGACTGTCTTTGGGGCGTATGGGAATCCAGAAACGGCGAAAGGTGCTTGGGCTGGAAATTCTCGTGCGAGCTCCTAGGCAACTGTCAGAATCTGTTGGAAGGCTGCAGAGCATCTCGGAGCGGTCCTGCATGAACACCTCTTGGGGCCCTCTTGGGCCATTGTGAGGCGCTCTTGGGCCGTCTCGGGGCTTCTTGGGCGTCTTGGGGCCACGTTGGGGGTCTGAGGCAGTCTGGGAGCCCGCTCTGGGCCCTCTTGGGCAGCCCCTGAGGGCCTCTGAGGCCTGTCTCTGGGGTGGGCACTTGGAGCTCTGTGAGGCCGCCTGAGGCCGTTCTGGGCCGCCGTCGTCGTGCCCGCTTGGGCCGCTTTGCTGCGCCCGTCGGGGCATTGCGGGCCGCGTGTTGGGGCGATCCTGGGAAGGCCTGGAGCCGTGTGGGGCCGTTCTGTGCCCGTCATGGGGAGGATCTGAAAAAAAAAAAAAAAAAACTTCGTGGGGTCAGCATGGGTCCTCGTGGGCCGCCATTTGACTCGCGTCGGGAGCTCTTGGGCCGTCCTGCAGCTCACCTGAGCGCATCAGAGCTGTCCTGGGGCTATCTGACAACGATGCGTGGCCATCGAGGGGCCCCCTGGAGCCGTGAAGGAGTGCCCAGAGGTGCGCAAAGACCTCGAGCTGCTCGCCCCTTGCGCACGCGCCGCGGCTGGAGTTGTAGTGCGGATGACTCTCGGCTCCAGCCTCGACTCCCACATCTCGCTCGGCAGCGCCAGAGCCCGCTGCCACTGCCTGCCCTTCTCGCACGCGCTGGTCCCAGCGCTGTAGCTGACCAATGTAAACCCGTGGATGAAATCCACGGCGTGCTGAGCCGAGGATTCGCAAACCGTGGGTGACCAGTTCGTCGAAGTGGAACAGATCGGGCGTCCCACGGGCCGTCGTGTCGGAGCATGTTGAGCCCTCAGCCCTGCAGAGCCTCCGGACAAAACCAACGAGGACGTCAATTTTGTCTGCCCAGGGCCGCGGGCTCTGATGGAGTCCCGCCGAGGCTACGCCAGCGGCGTCAGCGGCCTCCGATGCGGCCCCGCGGAGGCTCCACGAGCGTTCCAGGACAGCCCCCCAGAGCCTTTGGAAAAAGCAAACTAGGATGTCAAATTTGTCTGGCCGCGCCCGCGGCCCCCGATGGGGCCTCGCCGAGACTACGCCGGCGGCGTCAACGGCGCCCGGTGGAGCCCCGCGGAGGCCCCTCGAGCATTCCAGGACAGCCCCGCAGAGCCTCCGGACAAGCCATGAACATGGATCCCCACGACGGCGCCGCCGACAACGGCCAGGGCAGCCTGCGCAGCCGCCGCAGACCCAGACATAATCTTTTGGGCGCGCGGTCCGTCGAAGTCCCGGCTCTTTCCCACTGCGGCGGCTTGTCATCCTGAATCGTAATTTTGACGGTCCTGGGGACTGTCGGAGGCACCCTCGACGACGGAGGGGCGGCGACAGGGAGGACGACGGCGACGACGGCGACGACGGGGGGACACGCAACGGCAAGACTGGCTGGCTCGGGGTGCCCGTGAAGCTCCATGGGCCTGAATTGGGCCTCTCTCGGGGCCTCCTGCCTCGGTCTGGGGCCCTCATGGGGCCCTGGGGGGGCTGTTACGTGGCTCCTGGGGTCCTGCTGTAACAGGGGCTGAGGCCGCGCGGGAGCCCGCTTGGGGCCGCCCCGAGGCCGTCTCGGAAGGCCGGGGCTCTGTGGGCCCGTCCGGGGGCTCTCGGAGCGTTTGCGGGACGTCTGCCCTCCGCCCTCCATCTTCCATGCCTTCCGACCTCTGCTAAGACTTGGTCGAAATCCACACCCTCTCGAGGTGCTCTGAGGCATCCCTCTGGAAGCCGCTGCGAGCCTCCCTGGCGCTCCCGGT